ATAAGAACATATTTTTTTTTGCACCATTTAGCTTTAGTTAGATGCTGTGGTCGAGCAACAATTTCTCAAAGAATCATTGTATGTATGCTTGTTTAAGAAAATGTGTCTTAAGCGTGATTGTAGATATCTGGGACGATTCGACGAGTTTCGTTTGGTTTTTGATATTTCCAAATTTTAATGAGGCTAATAAATCTAAAGGAAAAAAGATTTGTAACGGTTGGATCTGCCGTTGTAGCCAATGGAATTGATAGCCGATCACGGATTAGCCAATACGCGGACGATAATTTTATCTGAAAAATATAGTACGCATCCTCATTCATATCTACTCGGAAATATACTTGTAACATGATAGATGGACCCTCGTCCAACCCTAGTTCTGCCATTTCCATAAACGTTTTACGAAGGAGTAAAATTAAGATAGGTCCAAAACGGCCTGGACCATGTGTCAATACACTGAAATGAATATGTCCTAACGACACATTCAGAAATGTAGCCTCTATAATATATATTTTGAGTCGGAAGCCGCTACTGGTATTTACAATTGTACCCATGACATATTTTAAAATAAAGATCACATTAATAAAATGATAATTTTCGACAATTAGATTTTAACTAATACGCCATGTCGGAAACGAGTGAAAAGTTTGTGGTTCATATAGCTTACTCGGAGCAGAAAAATACTGAGCTAGCTCTACAATGGCAGCGAGTAATTGTAGACTTGGACCTTCTGCCAAACGACTTATTTATCTGAGCATCCAATAACTGAAGCTTGAATGACTGCATATAGTGAAAATTAAGTATCCCGGAAAATACGTTCACCTGGAAAAGTGACAATTTTAATCGGAGTCTTGTATATTATGGCTTTTTTTCCTATAAGTTACTAGTATAGCAACAATTATGATGGGTGAGTGTCAGTTCCATGATTCTTTCTCATGAACAGTCATCAAGCCAACTCGTCATGCTGCAAAGATAGGCACAAGTAAATTTCTAAATTTTTCTAGCAAATTCTAATTAACACGTTATATGCAGCATCATACTATCACGCTCAGAAGATCAAATGTAATCACTGTGACAGAGACTTATAAAATGAAATCAACTTCTTAGAGTAAGTTCGTTTGATGAGCGTCACTCCAGTTGCCAGAAGCACTGCTCGCGATGACCGCGCGAGCCAACATGGGATATATTTTTCCTGTCTAAACATATTTGCAAATAGAAAACAAGGAAACTGCTCAAGAAGAAGGTAAACTTATTTGAGCGAAGAAATTACTTATCGTTAATCAACTTCATTCTTCATGCTCGTGTATCTTCGGCAGAGGAACAACGACAAAAAGAGGTGCTCAAATGCGATGGATTCCAACAGTGACACGTTAGTGTGCGCTTTCAGAGTCCTATGAAGGTGAGAAAATTCCAAAATGTTTTGGCGATGTCGGAAAGCTTATTCTTTTTTATGTGCATGAATAATGATCATACGTAGTAAACGCATGTGCATTACATTTACATCATCCATAAAACATGTGTTACTATCAGTGCATAGGCTGTTGGAACTCTTTAGACTAGTAAGGAAGCCCGCAAGGTACCAATCGTCGTTGTAGCCGTCACATTTCAAATGATAAAGTTTCGAAAAAGATATGGTTCTGTAAAATTTGCTCACATATTTGAGGAGTGCTTAAAGACTATTTGAAGCTTCTGCGCCGGGAGCTCCCATGAGTAACTCATAAACCTCGACACGTTCAACACCGTTCCTCACTAAACCATAAAAAGCGGCCGTAAGGAGAGGTGTGTATATCCTCTAGTGTCAACTTTAGACTACCGTAAGACGCACCTCTTCTTTTATTAATAGGTAATAAGTATAATAATAATAAAATAAATAATAAATATAGGTAATAAGCAATGTTACGTACATTACTACGATAGTTTTAGTAGTTTACGACATACTTCAAATTCAACTCACAGTAAGTACAGCATAATACTAAAATGAAATTGTGTCTAAGAAAAATATATATATAACCAAGTTATCGTGACCACCTAGAAAATGTTTGCATTTTTTATCTATTATAAGAAACTAAATATGGAAGTTATTAACGTGGACTACACACAACTTCCGTTATGTTTCCTATTATTCTTCTCTCTAGGTGAGTTAACTATCAGCTAGAATACAGAATTTACCTTTTTAAGGTGCAAAATTAAAGGCAGTGAACTTTTGCCTCGATGTCTAGCCCATTTCAGCCAATTTAATTGGTACAAACACCCTAAACACCCCAAACACAAAACCCTAAACAATTTTTATTTTTTTCAAATTTGGAATATGGGAACCATTACCAGTCAGCAAGCATTTCTGAACAAATCAAGAGGTTAGTACTACACCCATTTGCCTTTCTAAACTGCGACACAGATCGATCCGTGCAAAGGTAATCATATTCAACAGATGAATTAACGGTATCTTCAGTTACTTTTAACTACGGAGCATTGTAGTTGATTCGCTTATGTTCATTATGGCAAGTTTCACAATAGATGCGCCAAAGAACGCCGTAGAAGTAGTCCAGTATTGTTTGTCACGCTGTTGTTACTGCTTTGAATGACCCGTGGTCTGTGAAGAGGGAACCTAGACATATCGGAATCATTGTTCTAATCAAGACGAAGTTACAGCAACAGTAATAGATCCAATGTAAATATAGTATTTCATCCATTAGGAGGTTGTCTGCCTATAGATTGGTGTGTACATACCCAGATAGCGTCGCACGTAAGAATGCTATTTCAGATCCGTAAAAAAAAATTAAACGAACGCCGCTGTGTCTAAACATTGAGATAAATCGCGGTGAACGGTGCCGGTGTGCATCAACCTGTCGTGGACGTTCCGGAACTGACGAACGTTTCGAGTGGTTGCGATTTGTCCAGCTATTCATAATAAATCCCCTTTCGACTAATATGCTGTACACTAGACATCGGTGTTTGCGATAGATAAACTGACTACTGTATATATATATATATTATATTGCTATGCCACAAATGCATTCCTTACAACTTCCCCTCGAAAAGTTGTACGCTATTCTATTAACAGCAGCAGCAACAGCAGTAGCAGCAATAGCAGCAGCAGCAGCAGCAGCAGCAGCAGCAGCAGCAGCAGCAGCAGCAGCAGCAGCAGCAGCAGCAGCAGCAGCAGCAGCAGCAGCAGCAGCAGCAGCAGCAGCAGCAGCAGCAGCAGCAGCAGCAGCAGCAGCAGCAGCAGCAGCAGCAGCAGCAGCAGCAGCAGCAGCAGCAGCAGCAGCAGGTAATGTTGAACGTGGCTGCAATTGGAGACGCGGCAGGGTGATCTATCGAATCGAGCGCATGCGTCTTTGAAGCAACGAGGTATTACGTACAACTGACTCCCTGCTGCGAGAAGTGCCATTCATAACGAACGAAAAAACGA